CTTGAGTGAGTGATCATTTCCACTAGCAAATAAGAGGGGGATGCATGTGGAGGGCTTGTCCTAGCTTCTGATTCTCAGTTCTGACCTGGGAAGTCATTATTCCCAGCAACGTATATAACTTTTGAACAGCCTGCCACTTGCTCTACATCCTTCCTTTTGACAATTTTCTGAAGTTTCGTGTGTCATAAAAAACATTTCTCACTTGCCAGAGTAGTCTGGGGTTCATTTTGAATCTGACAGGCCTTTCAACACCACATTCTTTAGTCTCGCTGATAGATAATTCCTAATAAAAGTGCTGCCTCAACAGGAAGTAAGATTGTATGATTTTCAATTTGGGTTGAAAAATCAAATCCAAGTTATGGCAAACACTGAAGTTCCCAGACCTTATGGATTAATTGTGACTATCTTACCATGAAATATTTTTGTTGTAGGTGCTCCCCTCCATTTATTGTTTGTCAAAAACTTTTGATCAGAAATATTTTTTTACCACAAGAATGCTGTCATTTCTAAAGCAGCCATTTATCCATCGGTGTATAATGACTACAGTATGACTGCCATTTGTCTTATGCGATAGATATGCCCCTGAAGAGTTATTTATAAACTGAGCTTTTACATCTAATTTATCTGTTAAGTGCAAATGAAGAGCTATTATTTTACTTTATGGTTTCTTCTAGAATTAGAAAAACTATTCCCAAATGCATTTAAGAAATATAATGCTCATATATTGTGCCTTCTTTACATGAGGTAATTTTGCTAAGAATTAGGAAGAATCACCAATGGGCTTCTGCTCTCAACAGTTTTAGTTTAATTACCTTACCTTCCAGCCTAATAGGAGATGGCAGGTTTTGTAACTACAGTACATTTCTCTTGTCTTATTCTCTCAGGGAAGGATGTGAGGTGCCAGCTCAGAGCTGGGCTGATTTATGATATTCTGCTGGACTATTCAGTAATCTCTTAGGTAATTTCTCATGAGCTTCTCAGCCTAGAGCTTCATGATTCTGTGTATTTTGGTTTTCTTTTGCTGTTTAGTGAACCCTAACTGTGGCAGTTTAAGAAATGTGCTATTGTCTCTTACCGTTTTATGGGTTGAATAGCTCAGCTGCTTAGTTCTCTCTTGGGCTTCTCACACAGGGTTGCAGCCCAATGGTGGGTAGGGCTCCAGTCATCTGAAGGCTTCACTGGGTGGACCAAGGAGATGACTGATGGACATGACTAGAGTTGAAGCTGATGGAGCTGCGAGCTCAGTTGACCTGTGAACCAGAGAAGTTACGTGTGGCTCCTTGTCTGGCTTGTGCTTCTCATGTGTTCATTGGATTCATGAGGGAAGGTTCCCAGGATAAGTGTTTTGAGAGACCAAGGCAGAGGGCACAAGGCTTCTCACTACTTTGGTTCTAAATCTCAGAAAATCATTTTTGCCAGATTCTGTTGATCAAATCACTATGGTCAGCCCTTATTTAAGGGGAAGGGAATTATGCTTCACCTATTGATGAGTTGCAGCATGCAGTGGGGAAAGGAATGGATGGTGTCTGTTTTTAAACTATCCATTGTGCTATTTCAGAAGATGAGCATCATGTAGAGGAGTAAGACTTCATAAATATGAAACACACATAAGTCATTGTGGGCAGTGTTGGAAGATTACAGATGCTTAATACATGCAAATAAGGTGGCCAGCCCTGCAGGTTAGATATCAGTGCTAGAGAGTACCCATTGAATTAGCCTGTTTCCATGGCAGCCAGTTAGCCTCCCACAGAGAGAAATGTGCGCACACACTGACCCCAGCCCTCACTTAGCCAACCCATATTACAGATGTTTGAAAAGGAAACTTGGTAAGGGAATCTGAGTAGCATAGTGTCAAAGACATGTTTAGCTAGAAGCTATCCCAAGCATGTGTTCTACTTACATGAAGTCAATAAAACTGACTTTATGTTAGAACCCTAAACAGATGAGAACTGTAATGTGCCCAGTCCCTTTGGTTTTTGCACACCTTTTTTTTTTTTTTTGTTTTTTTTTGGTTTTTCTCCGGTACCGGGAACTGAACTCACGACCTTGCGCTTGCCAGGCAGGCGCTTTTGCCGCTGAGCTAAATCCCCAGCCCCTTTGTGCACCTTTTGGAGGTATGTAGAAAAGGCTGTGTCACTAGAATATCTTACGTACTTAGAATAGATACAGTTTGGTGCTTGGGAAAAAGTCAAGTTTGTCCATATGCTTGAAAATGTAATTGTCTCTTTAGCTTTAATCAGGAAAATAGCTGTCCTGTTAATTGCATGAGCCACAGGTACGTGGATTCTAGCTGTGGAGCTTAGCTGACCTGGACACATAGACAGCTTCTTCAGAATATATTAGTTTCCACTCTTTGTAGCATTTTTTTTTTTCCTGTGTATACACCTCTCTGGCTCCCTGGGGATGCAAATTTGTGTTTATCTGTGCTGAAAATTTAGAGGCAAGATAAACATTTGAAGTTATTTATAACCAGAGATTGTGCCAGGAATAAATTAGGCTTTGCCTTAGACATACATGAAAATATTGGATGATCACTGAGAAAGGTAGGGAGACTATCCCTAGGTATGAAAAGTAGACTTTGAGAGGCAAGTTATATAAGCTGTCCCAGCATATGGGTATGTGGGTCTAGTGCTTGTCCTAGTTTGAGCTTCCATAACAAAGTGCTATAGATTATACATTATCTTAGGCATGTTCTCATCACTGAGATGCAATATCTGACACCCAAAACTTAACAGAAGAGAGGTTTATTTGTCTGATGATTTAGAAGTTCCAGTCCATGTTTGATAGGCTCACACATAGTAATGGCATGGTGGAAGGGCCTGGGTGGAAGAAAGATGGCAGTCCAGAGCAGAGAGAGAAGGGAGAAAGCAGGAGGGTGATATAACTTTCCAGGTCATGCCCTCAGTGACTGCCTCCCGGCAGTGAGTCGGAAGCAGGCCCCATGGGCAGTCCTCTTCTGAAAGTCCTACTGTGAGCACATGAGGCTGTTGGTGGCTTCTGTATATAAACTGTAGCACACAGAAACAACAGAAAAGTCTTTTTCCCAGTTGTAGAGACTGGAGGTTCAAGATCATGGTGCCAGCATGGCCAGCTTCTGATGAAAGCCTTCTTCCGCCGTGTGGACCGCCTTCTTTTTGCTGCGCTCCCACATGGCAGAAAGTACACAGAGAGCGCTTTGAGTCCCCTTGTTGAGGACACTGAGCGCTCCACCCTTGTGTCTTAATCACTTCCCAAAGGTTCTGCCTTCTGACACTGTTACACTGCGTGTAAGGATTTCAGAATTAGAATGGAGGGGATGGAGTTCAGTTTGTAACATGGCTATTTTGACTTATTAAATGTACTTGGGGAATGCTCGAGATAGGAGATCTGGAAGATGCTGTTGTATAGGGCTTATACTTTTATGCTACTGAGAAGGCATTTGATAAGGGTAAGATGTATGGTTTAAGAAACGCACAGGACAGGGGAAGGGAGCACCATACAAATAAAAACCTGAGGGCGACAGACAAATATGGGAGGGGCTGGAGCCCACACTTGCCTGACTCCTGGATCATCACAGACTGGGGCAGCTATCTCTGTTTTCAGCTCCCCGGTGAAGAGTCCACCTTACACCCTACCCACTAGCAGCCTAAGCTCTCACCTCTCAGGTAGTCACACTGGTATAGACCTATAGCCCTCTTTCTCTCTTTTCTCTTCTGCAAATGTTGATTGTGTTCTGACAATGGTACTATTTATGTAGAATCATGTGCTTACTTGTTGGGAGACTATAATGGATTGACAACTGGTGGTCAACTTATAACTCCCAGCTGAGCTGAGTAAGCATGGTGCTGGGTGTAGGAGGCCACCTAAGGATTGTTGCAAGCAGCATAGGAGGCAGAACTGGAGAAGAAGAAGTAAGGCTGTTGGGAGCTGGTAGAAGCTGTTGGGAGCTGTTGGTTCTCTTGGAGGAGCTCGTTATGCTGGCTTTCCTGATGAACTTGGCTGTTTTCATCCTCAGAGGAGCTCGGGACCTTGTTGGCACTGAGAATGGCTTTGGTTCACTTTGGGGGAGCTCTGGTCCTCACTTTGAGCATTGCTTCCTGGCTCTGGAGGGAAAGAAGGTGCACTGCCAGTCTCCTGGAGAAGCTTGCTGCATTGGCTTTCCTGAAGAGAACTCAGCTGTCTTCACCATTGGAGGAGCTTGAGACCTCACTGTTGCTGAGGATGGCTGTGGTACTTTTCAGGGAAGCGATGGTTCTTACTTTGCACATTGCTTCCTGGCTCCAGTACAGATCCCTCAGCCTGCTAGCACTGATCCTTCATACCACTGGCATAGACTTATTAGATTCTACCACTGACCTTTGGGCCTTCCCAGCACAGATCCGTGCAACAGGCCTGCATGAGATATTGTTATGGGCTCTAGTCCTCCATTTGGACTCGTGGGAGACACTGTTATGAGCTCTAGGTCTTCAGCTGGACCGTGCAGGACATTTCCATGAGATCCAGGCTGTCAGCTTGATTCCTTGGTCTACAGTGTGTGGACAAATTTCTTGCACTCTCTTGTATATGATTCTTTGGGTGACTATTATAAATAATGTTATAAAATGTGTCCTATATTATATTGTTCCCCTTGCAATATCCCCCAAAGCACTACAGAGACTTATAATAAACCAGTAAACAAACAAATAATATAATTACAGATTGTGATTAGTGTTATGGGAAAATGGAGGTGCAATAAAGAGTAACTAGGGATCCTTTTCAGTAAGGTAATTGGAATGACTCTTACAGGAGGTGACGTTACTGATTCCACATCCCCTGGTTAAACCTGAAAGTGTATTATGTGATATTTTGAAGTTTTTTAAATTACATGTTGCTAAGGTTCCAATTAAAATCCTTTCTTTCTTTTCTGAGCCCAAGCTGCAGAATATCAAATGGACAGTGGTTCTAGGGAGGAGAAGGAAGACAGCTGGGTGGCCAGACCCCTCCTACCTGACCCTTTCCTCCTGGTGACTTTCTCTCCTTAGGGAAAGGCGATGTGTTTGGAGATGTGTTCTGGAAGGAAGCCACCCTTGCCCAGTCCTGTGCCAACGTTAGGGCCTTGACCTACTGTGACCTGCATGTGATCAAACGGGATGCCCTGCAGAAAGTGCTGGAGTTCTACACCGCCTTCTCCCACTCCTTCTCCAGGAACCTGATTCTCACCTACAACTTGAGGAAGAGGGTGAGCTCACAGCTTAATTTTTTTTCTACAGTTTTCTTTTTCCTATACACTTTGGATAATTACTGGGGCCAAGAACATGCTAAGTCATTTCACCCTTTATTTGAGTAGCACTTTGTTCACTGCTTACTTTGCAGAGCTCTCTATAAGCTGGAGAACAGAGGTAATATTAGATTAAAAGAAGATCATTTTTGGTGCTGAAGGGATTTGTTCACATGTGTGTCTGGGGTCTTTGTCCTCGGCAATCTCTAGATCTTGTAGCTTTTAAAAGGATGAGTAAAACATAAAGAGTCTCATCAGTAAAACGGCTGCATGAAGCCACTGAACATAAACTGGTCTCCCTGGTGACTGGGACATGTGAGAGGTATGAGGCCATTAGCAGCCAGCTGGTGATGATAACTTTTTGAAAGATAAGCAGATACTTTAGTTGGGTACACAAAATTAAGAAGTCATGGGCTTTAGTTGTCTAGAAAATATTCCATATACAGTTGCGAACTTGTTAAGAAAGATGAATAGTTCAAGAGCAGGAAGATGTCTCATCTGAAGTTGGTTCTCTCACCCTCAAGTTACCAGAATGTCTGTCTCTACAAGGATTAAAATATTTGTCTTGCTCTCCTTGTTTTCGTGATTGATTTTCTTATACTATATCCATCTCTTTTGGCTAAAACAGTAAAATGGTAGCTCTGGATCTACAGGAATCACCTGGAAAGACTGTCATAAGAACCTTCCCCAGATACCCTCATCATCTTTCCCTTAAGCTGCTCCTATCTCAGGAGTCCTATTTCTATTTACATTGTCTAATTTGGGCCGGGGTTACAGGTTAGAAAGCTTGGCATCAGCATTAATATTGTTTCTCCCCCACAGCCATGTTACTCATCAGACCCTATTGGTCGCACCCAAGCTGTCCAATCTGAATTTGCACTTTGCTTTCCCCTCAGAGCCCAGACAGGGTTCTCAGCACACAGAAGCCCACATTGCAGACACTCCCAGTGCCCTGGCAGGACCTTGCAGCACCATACTTCCTCTTCATGACCACTCTACTAACCTTGAAAGTGAATCTGACCCTGTACAGGGTCAGGTCTGAGTACCTCAGCCCGGTTTATGTGGTTGTCCACATATGGCCCAAACCTAGCTGCCAAGCCCTAGTCTCAGCCACGTCTCCCCTCCCCCACCCTCGGCCTCCTGAACTGCCAGCATGAGGATCCACACCCTTTCAGAGCTCTGCATCTCCATGTGCCACTTCCTCAGCCTGGGATTCCTTCTTTCCTATGTGTGCAAACTCCAGCTAACCGATAAGACTCTGTGGAAGTGTTTATTTGTTCATCCATTAAACCTAGTTTTGTGCCAACTAAGCTGGACTAAAACAAGTAAAACCAAATGATAACAGTGATAACAAAGTTCCTTATCTGATAGAGAAGATCAACACCGAAAGGATAATTACGGTTCACCTAATAAAATGATTATGATTTACATGGGCTACTGGGGAAGAAGAAAGGAGGTAGCAGTTGCAGGGGAGAAAATATTGGGGGTGATGATCCAAGTCCAGAGGATGTGTTTGCCAGAGTGTTTGGAGGGACAGTTTGACCAGACTCCAGAGAAAGGAAACAGACTTTTATCTTCTAAATCCCTTATATAGGGTGTGAAATTCCTGTCATTGGGTTATCGTGATGATATGCTTCCACCTAATTTAAATCCCTAGAATTTTATTGCTTTGCAAATCCTTGCTTGGAGACCTAAGGGTGTAAGAGTTGTCATCCCTGGTGCATAACCAAGCATGGAGCACCTAGAATTTATAGATATGTGCGGAAGCAAGGAAAAAGAGGCGGGACCTCTGGACCTCAGTTTTCACTGTGTGAAATCCAAGGTTGCGGCTGAATGATTTTCATGGTTCTGTGGTTTGAAGCCTGCCCGTTTGGGTTCTAGTAGGGCATGGGCAGTGGTAAAGTTGCATCCAGTTCTTCCTGGCTTGTCTGTTGGCTGCGAATACAGAATGATTGCTGGTGATACATTTAGCCACGTAGGTTCTCTAAGCATCTATTTTTTGATTTATTCCTTCTTTCTGTGAAAGCAAGTTGATTGTAATCAGCTTTCAGTGTTTCTGGTAATACAGGTTGAAAAAATGTGCAGCTTAGATTATCTGGAGGAGTAATCATCATGGAATGATTATGATTTAAGTAAATTTGTCTTTAAAAAACAACAAGAATGATTTTTTAAAAAAACCCCAGCTATGCTTCAATGGTCAGATTATTTTTTAAGTGCAGAATGATTGACAACTGTGAAGAAGAAGTGAATAAGGTCTACATTTTTGAAGAGCTCCCCTGGGAGAGTTTATTTAGCTACAAATGCAGAGGAAGGACTAAACCTGTGGACAGACAGACAGATTTTGGCATGGTATAAGGAAGTCCTTTCTGAGTGGTCTCAGGTTTGCTGCTGTGTGAGTACTGAGGATCCCCTTGGTACCAATGCGGAGGAATATCGTGGAAGGAACTTAAGCATCCAGTGGAGAATTTAACCAGTTCACCTTCAAATGTCCTTCCCATCCCAAATGCCTGTGTGTCTGGTATGGATCCAGAGGAATTTTAGTGAGAGCTTTGTGTAAAGAGGTAGCCTCTCTCTCCTTGGAAAAAAGAGACTTGTCATTTTGGTATTGCCTTTGTAGTCTCCCATTGTGTCCCTTTGAGAATTAATTCATAGCTACATAGGGCATAGATGAGGAGAACATTACATGCATGAATTATTCTTGTAGCTATTTTTTCCCTGGCAAAATGAAGTGTATTCTTGTGGTTGTTTCTATCTTGGCAAAACTAAGTGAATTACTTGCAAAGAGTTTTTAGAACATAGTGTCTTCAACATCCTTTTGGGGTTGGTCTTGTAGACCCTCCTCTAGTACATAGAAGAAAAGCTCTGAGCTGGAAGGTGCCTCTGTGGCCACTTGGTTTCTCTCCCGTGTCCACACCATCCTCATATCACACACAGGACATTTTATAGAAATGACACAGAACTAGACTGGCAGTAAAATAATTGGAGTCAGACACGATGACTCCACCAGGACCTTGAGTAGTCCCCTTCCTTTGCTCCGGCAGGGCTCCTGCTTTGCAGAATATGCTCTGAGATGGGTATTAGTCTAGGATTCTCTACAACCAAGGAGGTGATGTCACTCTGCCAAGTGGACTCTAATGCTGGCCTCTTTGTCCCTTCCACTCCTGCCAGTGGAAAGGCCAGCACTCACCCACTTTTCAGTAGGTTCCATTCTTATAATGATCACGCTGCACTGAGACCATGGGGCAGTCAGCAAGGAGTCAAAAGACAGCATGACAGGAAGGTATCTTCTAGGGGGGGGAAGCTTGTGGCTGTTCATGAAAGGAAGGGGAAGCAGAAACTTCTCATCCCATCTTATCTAGGGTGCTGGCAAGGGCTCTACAAGCATTTCCTCTAGGTCTTCCTCTGTCTATAATCAGAGCTTTGCACATTACTAATAAGGTTATTACTAACCCCAGGTACTGTGCAAGGTATAGCACCATGTCAGTGTGTGTCTTATGTCAGCTTATTAAATTCTCAGAGTAGCCTCTTGACATTACTGTGTCAGTCCCATTTCTGAAGGGAATAAACTAGGACCCAGTGGAGAAGAGTCCTTTTCCAAGGTCATCTGGCTATGGAGTAGCATATTCCAGCCCTGGCTGTGCTCTTCCAGCTGAGCAGCATGGTATCCTGTGGTCGCCTCTCGAAAGTGTGGATCTCAGGTTTTCCTTATTGGCATTCTTTGGGCCTCATCCAGTCTGTTAGCTTTTCAGGGGTGGCATAATTTTCTCCAGCGGTCTTTGCTACTGCCAGTGCACTTCAGCACGTGTGCAGTAAAATCATAGTCACAGCCCAGAGTGAGAGACATGGGAAGTGTTCCCCTCCTAGTGATGGCACATGGGATGCTGCTTGCAGTGCTAGGGAGCATGACATTTGGGTTAAGCTTCAGTTTAACCTGGTCATGACAGTGACTTATTAGAAAGACCACTGTTTTGGGGCTGAAGACCTGTTTGAATAATGATTAGGTTACTAACAAGAAGTGTACCTCTGGGCATGCTACTGACCTGCTCTAAGCTTCAGTTCCCTTGTCTGTAAGGAGCCAGTGCAAGTCCTTATGAACTAGGATAATAGAAAATCTTATATACATTAAAACAAATATTAAAAGTGACAGCCTACCTGTAGAAAGCACTCAGTACATATTTGTCCCTTTCTCTTCCCTGCTGCTTATCTCCAGCCTCTGTCTCCAGTTTTATAAGCTGACCACTTGGACTTGACTTTCATTTCAACCAGAGATGAAGTTTTACTTCCCAGGTGCTAGGGGATTAGGTCCTCCTTCTGATCATTAGTACAGTAGAGGAAATGTATCACAATTAAATGATGCACTGCATGCAAATAGGTAATTAATAGCAGTCAGTGCATGGGATAATTAGCATGTAGGTAATTGGTGGAGTAGTTCTCATTCTCTTTGTACAGGGTTTCATTTTTAAAACCAATATTATTATGTATTTGAGTATGTCCTGCAGTGTTTGCTTATATTAATTGACTTTCATTCCAAGATGAATTACCTTTCGTTCCAAGATGAATTTTTAAAATCATAGTTGAAGTCTCAAACTAGAGAATTTGGGAGGGAGCTGGAACCGTAGTTACTGGTGCTTTCAAAGCAGAGGCCTCCTAATCCCTGTTTGTTAGAGCTGAGGTTGCCATAGTGAACTGCCTTGAATACCCTGTTTATATCTCTAGCCCATTTTAACCAAAGGACATTTTATTCTGGGAAGACCTCTGCTCATAAGTGGCATTGGAAAGCCTTTCAGTTTTCTCCCTGATCAAATTGTTGTGGAAAGTTGGTAAGATAGGAAGACCATAGAGCTAGTGCTTCGAAATGTCACCCGCTTTCCCACTGACTCATCATGGCCTCAGTTTTTTAAATGATCCTGCATAGCCCATATTTTCCTTGTCATCTCTCCATAGTGAAGGTTTTTGTGAAA